AGAAAAAGATTTCAGGGAACAAATCAACACTTCATATGTACCTCAGCTGAAGAACGCTATAAAGTATATAGTGACATGACATGGTGGCCCATATAATACTTGGGAGACACTCCTGTCCCACCAAATCCTTCCACATTCACTGGATTCTACTTTGGACGACACTCGATATTATCAACTTCTGCAGTTTTAACCAAAAATTAAATGATCCTGTTCTAGAGCCAGACCTCCTGCAAGCACAACATTTCTGAATTTACATCTGCTTTACTGTCTGCTCATATGGTCCTGCTGTTCTATATGTGGAATAATGTAACCCTCACTGTATAAACAGTAATATATATTATGTGTGTATGCATATATACATACAGTATACACTATATTGCCAAAAGTATTGGGACCCCCCCCCCGAATCATTGGATTCAGGTGTTCCAATCACCTCCATGGCCACAGATGTATAAATTCAAGCACCTAGGCATGCAGACTGCTTCTAAAAACATTTGTGAAAGAATGGGTCGCTTTCAGGAGCTCAGTGAATTCAAGAGTGGTACCGTGAGAGGTTGCCACCTGTGCAATAAGTCCATCCGTGAAATTTCCTTGCTACTAAATATTCCACAGTCAACTGTTAGTGGCATTATAACAAAGTGGAAGCAACTGGGAACAACAGCAACTCAGCCACGAAGTGGTAGGCCCCATAAAATGACAGAGCGGGGTGAGCGCATGATAAAGCGTTCAGTATGCAGAAGTCGCCAAGTGTCTGCAGAGTCAATAGCTAAAGACCACCAAACTTCATGTGGCCTTCAGATTAGCACAACAACAGTGTGTAGAGAGCTTCATGGAATGGGTTTCCATGGCCGAGCAGCTGCTTCCAAGCCTTACATCACCAAGTGCAATGCAAAGAGTCAGATGCAGTGGTGTTTGTAAAGCACACCGCCACTGGACTCTAGAGCAGTGGAGACGTGTTTTCTGGAGTGACGAATCACGCTTCTCTGTCTGACAATCCAATGGACGTGTCTGGGTTTGGCGGTCCTGGTTGCTAGCTGAACGGTACTTTTCTGACTGCATTGTGCTAAGTGTAAAGTTTGGTGGACGGGGGATTATGGTGTGAGATTGTTTTCAGGGGTTGGGTTTGGCCCCTTAGTTCCAGTGAAGGGAACTCTTAAGGCGTCAGCATACCAAGACATTTTGGACAATTTCATGCTCCCAACTTTGTGGGAACAATTTGGGGATGGCCCCTTCCTGTTCCAACATGACTGTGAACAAAGCAATGTCCATAAAGACATGGATGAGCACGTTTGGGATGGACAAACTTGACTGGCCTGCACAGAGTCCTGACCTCAACCCGATAGAACACCTTTGGGATGAATTAGAGCGGAGACTTCCAGCCGGTCTTCTCGTCCGACATCAGTGCCTGACCTCACAAATGTACTTCTGGAAGAATAGTCAAACATTCCCATAGACACAATCCTAAACCTTGTGGACAGCTTTCCAGAATAGTTGAAGCTGTTATAGCTGCAAAGAGTGAACCCTACGGCCTAAGACTGGGATGCCATTAAACGTCATGTGCGTATAAAGGCAGTAGTCCCAATACTTTTGGAAATATAGTGTGTGTATATATACATATATATATATATATATATATATATATATTATAAAACAGTGATTTATTAAAGGGGTTCATTACACTCTAGAATACCCTAAAACTAATACTTGGCATATAATTAGAAGGTATGCTCCCCATAGAATCACTTGCAATCATTGCTCCATTTCTAAACTGCAAGAGAATAATAAGCACCCCGACAGACAATAGTCCTTAATCCTTAAAGTGGACTTATTAGTAACATCTGCATGAATTGACATGTCACAACATACAGCAACAGTGTACTATGTCAAAATGCGTTATCTGTTATATAAAAAAAAAAGCATTTGAGCTCAAGTCCAGCGACTATGAATAGCATGAGATGATGTTACCAGTCTGCTGCAGGCAAAAGGAAGCATTTCCTCAGTCTCCCCTCCCTCAGTGATCAGACTCCTGCACTGTAACATTGCAGCAAGTCATAAGGTGAGAGGCTGCAGCAAGGGCTGATCTGTGATAGACATTTGTGAAGATTTATCTCAGTACAAGAGTGGCTGCTGACCCTGGATGATACCTAAACAAAGATGGTGCCATCTTAGAGAGAAAGGCCATACATTATACAATTTTCTTGAGATTTTTGCTTTAGATTTACCAAAAACCATATAATGGGAGGTCAAACACTTTCAATTGTATGCAATTAGGCAGGCCCTTGCACTACACAGTTGAAGGCAAATCTAAAGGAAATTGGACAGAAATTGGACAGAAAATTGTATATAGTGTATGGCCAGCCAAAGGTGTTGTTGAGGGGGAAAGGTTACCATGCTGTTTGGGGAAGCCGATTATCGGCTTGGTTACAATCACATGTTTCGTAGCATGCATGTGCTTAGTGTCTGTATACAGTATATATTGACAGAAATGTGCAAGTTGCCATTCCATTGTTGAATTTCTGGATGCCTCGGATACTTTGAATCATTGTGTTAGAACAAGCTTGCCTACTCAACATATGTTGAAGCTAGTGGATCAGTAGGACAGCCAGACAACTAGCATTTTCAGAGGTGTCAATGTACATATTCTCTTAGTACAGGATACATTTTAACAGATTTAGTGGATTCAAAATGTATGGATGAAACATCTTGATCCAACATTTCCTGGCATTGTTCTGAAAATTCTATTTGCCTTACTGATATTCTGACCCACTGGCATCACTACTTTAAGCTTGATCCACTCAAATGCAAGCATTCTTTGGACTTTCCTCTGAAAATGCTAAACGCTTGGCTGTTATGCATAACAGGAAAGTCAGATGATCAAACACAGTAAGCGAGCCAGGCAACAAGCATTTGCAGAATTCATAACAGCATTCTCTCGACACAGGTTTCCTCTAAAGGAATCCCATACTGAGGAATACTGAGGTCACAATTGCCAATTGTCTTTTGAAAAATGTAAGATGCTAGTTGCCTGGCTGCCTTTAGCCTTAATAGTGCATTTTGGGCATTCATCCTTGACATACTGCCTTAACATTGGTATCACTTGGTACACTGTCCAGCCGCAGCAGCTATCAGCCTCTAAGTTGAGTTGGACAGTCACCAGTGCCTTCCACCCACATCGGAGGGGTAAACGTCCAGCATGCACAAGGCTTAAGGATTATTCTCCTGGTTTGGATTGAATATGACTGGGAGTGTTGATCTGGGTCCAACCGAGTGCTGAGCACATGAAACACATTGACTGCCTGGTGTTTGTTTTTTTTTTCCCCCATTGCCATTTGAGAATTAAAAAATATCTATATATACCACCTTGGACACTAGAAATGTTTGTTTGGGACCCTCTTTAGTTGAAATGCATATGGGGACTTTTCAAACCAGACCAGCCACCACTTAGGAGGGCCTTCAAAAGCTATTTAGCCTATTAAGATCTTCCCTCATAAATGATATGTTAGACTTGTAGAAAGTAATGTATTGCCCAGTCTTTATTGGGGTTAACTTTTTTCAATATCACTCACTCCGGCTGATCCATCTTCCTTAGATCGATTGCCAACTATGTAATGAAATTGATTGTTTAGTTTTGTCCTCATATGCCATGGTTTTATCAAGTCTAAAGAAGATAAAAACTGATAGTGCATGACCAACCTTTAAAAAAACACCATAGGAAAGTTGCCATATCCAGCTTGACCTACTTTTTGAGGTTTTCGAGTTTACCAAACCACTTCCAAGTATTCTATGAAATGCCTTCAACATTACAGAACAAGTCAAGTTGAATATAGCCAACTACTACTATATCTCAACCACAGCACCACCTGCCTGGAGTTTGCATCTTCTCCCTGTGCCTGCGTGGGTTTCCTCCGGGTACTCCGGTTTCTTCCCACACTCCAAAGACATGCTGGTAGGTTAATTGGTTCCTGTCTAAATTGGCCCCAGTATGTATGTAATGGGAGTTAGGGACCTAAGACTGTACACCCCTTGAGGGTTAGGGACTGATGTGAATATACAAATATGTAAAGCGCTGCGTAAATTGATGGCGCTAGATAAGTACCTGAAATAAATAAACACCATGACCAGATGAACGAGAACCTTCAACCAGTCATAGGAGAGTGCTGTATCTGACCCCCAAATAAAGAAAATGTAGAAGACAAGGAAACCACCACAGATTAAATATTTCCTGGTTTATTAGAAAAGTAAAAAAGGCACATTTTGTGGATTTTGTACTTGAACATCAAGTGATTTATATCAATGTAAACCATATTAAAGCAGCATGTCAGAATACAGAGATATCTGAATGAATGAATGAAAACTAGTGCTTTCCACACTTTTCTGAAGTAGAGCTACTGAAAAATGCACATCTTCTAGCTGCCATTGAAATCAGTAGTGAGGAAAAAAAAAAGAAAAAAAAAAAAAAAAAAAAAAAGTGGTCTCCAATAGTAAAGATGTACTTTGGAATATTATTTTTAATCAATTATGATAATTCATCCTCTATAAGAGGTAGAGTTAAACCACCTTTTATTGCAGACCAGCTGCGATAGCATACAAAAAAGCAATACTCCTCAGTGCGCTTAATGTAAAAACCTTCAATACTTTGTGTGCATTCCACTGCAAATTTATATTCACAACCATAATTGTACTGAAGTCCATCTAAGACTTTGCCTATGGATTGGCGCTTTTCCATACCAGTGTAAAAAGCACAGCAAAAAAAAAAATGTTGCTCACTAAACTTGGCAGTGGGTAGGTTAACTCACGTGTTCCCAGACAATTGGCAGGAGTATGGTCACATGTGTGTTAACCACATAAAAAAGGTTTGTAAAAACACTTGTCGCATTAAAGAAAACAATTCTAAAAGCCCCCCCTTTAACCTTCATGTAATTGCAGTACCCCAGAGAACAGGCATATTAAATCTTTGCGTTTCACAAAACGCTTAACACTTTTCAAAACAGATCTTTCACTCAGCATTCTTCAACAATAAATTCTTCAGAACTATACAGTTTCTTCTTTAGGACTTTAAATCCGGTGCCAAGTTTCAGAGACTGTCTAAACCCAGGGACTGATTTAGTGCTAAAGAGTCCCTGAATTCTTGGCCACAACCTAGAGTCCAGCTTGAACAGAACGGTTAGTTGGAAAGTAGGAATTACACATGTGTCAACCTCTAGCTGGGCCACGGTGTGGCAGGCCTTGCCACTTTCCACGCACAGGTCGATAAGTGCACCCCTAAGTCCACAAGGCTCGCTATATGCCAAGTGGATCAATTCTTGGCCCAAGTGGCAGAGAACGTCATCCGGAAGGATCAGCTCGGAGCATCTCAATGAGTTAATGCTGACTTTGTTCAGGCTACGTTTGATCATCTTGAGGAGACTTGGACAGAGTTGCTCACCTTCAGGGTCACTGAGAAGGTCTGAATCAGGTATAGAAATGTTGTCAAATTCATTTAAATCTGCAAGAAACAAAAAAGTAGAGTCACATTAGTACTAATGGAATTATTCACGTAGGCAATAAAACAAGGTAACGTCACATAATACTAGGAGGAGTTTTAATCTAGACATCAAAAATGAGAAGTCATATTAATACTAGTGGAAGTATTCACCCAGGCACCCAAACAAGTTAAAATGACAATAATACTAGTGGAAGTATGGATCTAGACCCCAAATACCAGGAGTCACATTAATACTAGTGGAAATATGGATCTAGACCCCAAATACGAGGAGAAGTCACATTAATATTAGTGCAAGTATGGATCTAGACCCCAAATACAAGGAGAAGTCACATTAATACTAGTGGAAGTATGGATCTAGACACCAAATACGAGGAGAAGTCACATTAATACTAGTGGAAGTATGGATCTAGACACCAAATACGAAGAGAAGTCACATTAATACTAGTGGAAGTATGGATTTAGACACCAAATATGAGGAAAAGTCACATTAATACTAGAAGTATGGATCTAGACCCCAAATACGAGGAGAAGTCACATTAATATTAGTGGAAGTATCGATCTAGACCCCAAATATGAGGTGTCACATTAATACTAGTGGAAGTATCAATCTAGACACCAAATACGAGGAGAAGTCACATTAATACTAGTGGAAGTATCGATCTAAACACCAGACAAAAGTTATAAAGCACTATAAAGTCAACTCACGTCAAAACATCATAACCAAGAGAGATAACATACAGTTTTGTTCTAGCACTATCCGTACCAACAGGCTAGAGACCAATAAAATGTACATAATCATTAACAAAAGAGTGTTGAGAAGAAATGAACTTACCACATTCAGACAAGGAATCGGATGAAGAATCGGAGAAGGAGCCACTACTGGTGAGGGATTCGCAGTCCGAGTTGGGTAGACTGGAACATCGTTGGGACAAGTCCGTACACTTCCCATCCCACAGGTCTTTGGGCTCTTCTTCAATGATTGGAGAGGGTAGGGAGAAGGGGACAGCGTAGAACATACCACCTCGGGCTGGCATGGCTGAGGCTCTGGAGGGCTTGTGCAAAATAACTAGAAATCACTGCAAGGAACAAAGAAAGATTGGTCAGCTGGTCATCATATGGATCAGGACAGCTCATCAGAACTAACAATAACTATAGACATGTCTACAAGCTGCTGAACATCCCACAATCAGCCCCTTGCTGCTCTCTGCATTCCTATTGTTTACTAGGGTAGGTTTGCAGTCATCTAACAATGATCATTAATATAAATCCACAATGACAGCAATCCTGATTGAGAACATTGGACTGACTGAACAATGCATCAGTATTAATCTATAGATAAGAGCAGTAGATGCTATGACAGCCTAGACAAAGACTAGTAAACAAGTGACAACGTTCATCACAAGCAGAAGTCATACTCACAGTGCTATCAGGGTAAAGCTACAGGTAAGGGACGACGGATAAAACTTGATAGGCAGGAAGTAAAGTTGAATTAAGTGCTTAAAACCCGTGCGCCTGCAGCCGTGTGTTCCCACCACCGCTCAGCGCACGATCGCGAGTGACCATCACTGGCACTGGCATCATCCGACAGCTCCACTCCGCTTATATACACACGGCGCGCCGCCACGCCCACCGCACGGGGGCTCGACCTGTCAATGAGCCATGGGAACGCCTACTCCCTCTGCCGGGCCTATGAGAAATCAGCGCACGTCCACAACGTTCTTTCCTGCCCGGTTACAGCGGGCTAAAGCCCCGCCCTCTTTTCCAGCTGGGATTGGCAGCCGGAGACAGTTGTGTGCATTAGAGGGAGAGAGTGTTTATTGGAGGAGGAGGAAGGAAAACAAAGGCATCTCACTCCATCAGTTCTGCACTTCACTGCAGTCATCCCTTCACCATCGCTTTGTACTTTTTATTATTCTAAGATAGTTCCCCCTCCCCCTAGATAAGTCTGATCAACATGTTTTTCTTCTAGTAAAGTCTCCATCATTAAACCTAATCTGACACTGAAATCTATACCGTTCATTGTTCGAGGTCTATGGCAATGATTTATTGAAATAAATGGAAAATAGAAATAAAAGATATATATATATATATATATATATATAAAAGTACTATAGTGTACAGTCAGATTGGGGGATTGGTGGTCCCTGTGCTCCCAGTTCTCATAGATGAGGCTCTGTCTGGAAGATCTGGACTTGCCCTCTGACTTGTTGGATTTGGTTGCCAAACAAGCTCCATGTACATGGGACAACGATGCAAACTGCTGGAAACCGTAGGTTAAAAAACGTCTGTTTAGCCGCGTTTGCATACTGCATTTTATGTGTGTTTGAGCGTTTGCGTTTTGAAATGTTTTTTAAAGATAACAGGAGACCTTCCCAAATGCCCAGAATGCACTGAAAAACAGTAAAAAATTTACTATTTCAGACATTTTAAGAGAATTAGAGAGAGCAGAAGCAGAGAGAGCAGTATGTGTTGAGATTAGCTGTCTTTTTTTTTTTTTTTTTGTGGTGGTGTTTGGATGTGTTTCAGCTCATTTCTGTACAGAAATTATTGCAGCATATTTTCTTTCATACAAAACCTCAAAGTATGGTGCACCAGGTCCATTTCAGTATTGGGAAAACGCTTTGCATGCATTTTTCATGATGAAAAAAGGTTCTGGACAGCATCTGGAAATGGAAGAGTTAAAAAAAATTCCAATTGCAAACACTTATAAACGCGGTTAGCCATGTTTACAAGCGTTTGGCATTTGAAACGCTGATAAAATCTACTCCTGAACACAAGTTTAGTGTGTTCAAAAAAATGACTGTAAACTCAACTGCCTGTAAACAACGATGTGTACATGGACACATAGGAAAACATTAGGGAGAGTTCAGGGGCTGCTGAGAAAAACGCAGAACAGTTCCTAAACATGTGAGTTTATCAGCTGCAGTGTACATGGAGCCTAAAACTTCATGGTCAGGTCTCCAGGATCAGGAGTGGATAACTTAGAGAAAGAAAAAGCCCCTCCAGTAAACTCTCGTGTCCTCTGCCAAACAAACTCCCCTTAAAGTTCAGGCAGTATACAATAAAAGGTCTTTAGGATTATTGATCAAGCTGCGTTGATGGTCTTGCCTTGACCCTGGTAAAGTAAAGCCATGCAGTTCTCTCCGGTCATATGATGACACAAATGCACACATAGAACAGGCTCATTCACACCAAACCCATTGCACAACAACCCGGCACATACACAAGGCAATTTGCTTTGCTTCAGTTGACACCAAAGTAGGGGCTGAGAAATAAAAAGAGGTTGTGTTGACTTTGTGCACAGTGCATTCCGACGTGCTCTAGCGTATTGCAACGCACGCTGTAGATGGGCAGTAAAAACGTGGTTTGACTGCTTATTTTTACTCCCCTCACTACAAGTATAAGTGAGCCCAATGTCTTTTGCTGTGTTTAGAGATGTTCCAATGCTTGGCTAGAGAACATTCCAATACACTGCCTGGATATCTGTATTGTACAGGACACAGTGGGACTAATAATAGTCATTATTATTATACAGGACTTATATAGCACCAACACTTTGCACAGCGCTTTACAACTAGAGTGCCGGGTAACATTGAGGTATGACCGTCCTCTAAAGTTCATGAAACAATGATCATACCTGATGCATCTTTAACGTCCCTTTTTTAAAACCAGTGAAGATAAACCCACCGACTCCCACCTAAGTCCACACCATCATGTCCACGTCATAGGATAGGTAGAACATGGCAGACAACCTCAAAGGTTCTGTGATAGGGAAAACTCATTTGCATCTGAAAGGATGTTGGGGGAGACAGAACATTAGGTATCTATTAGGTTACATTTGTGTTACAAGGAAGCCAGAGCCATGAAATAGTGACATTTGGGGGACTAGCTCATTGGCACGAGGAGTACAGTTGTCCAAGTGCTTGATTCTTTTGGCTCAAGCCGTTAATAGAAACTGTTGCATATCACTTTTACCAGGAGTTAGCATGCTGCCACACAGGGCGGACTGACCATTTGGAAACTCAGGCACTGCCCGAGGGCCTGGGGTCATTAGGGGGTCCCATGAGATGCCCCCGGTACCTTTTTCATAGGCTTTTTTGAGTTTGGGCAAGGACACAGGGGCCCCATGAGTTGTCAGTCTGCCCCTGCTGCCACAATACAAGCATGGGTATTGACGAAGATTGTTGCATGGAGAAAAATGTGCCATTTATTTAGCACTTTACCCACCAAATAATTGAAAGCGGCTAATGCAATTTGGTGCGGCTGGAGGAACAACACATAGTACTCTTATAATGGCATTATTGATTTGGCACACAGGAAAAGAACCCAGGAATAAAAAGTCCCTGACCCTTTCCAAAAATGCAAATTGCTCAAAAAAGCATAGATGTGAGCATGTGCCCTAGGAAACCATGTTAAATGGACTGTAATGCGTTTCTGCAAAAGGGACTAAAAAACACATTGGTGTGAAGGGAGCCCTAGCCTGGGTTCACACTGATGCGGTGTGGAATTCGCACTGGTTTCTGTGCGATTTCTTCACCACATCATATTCGCACTCTGTTCATATGAACTGATGCGGGTGTGTATTTTTAAATTAATGACACCCCAAAATCAGTTCACAAAACGCAGTGTGATGTGCAGAATCAGACTGCATGGGTTTGAGCAATCATGAGATCTGATTCTTGTGCGGACAAAAAAAAAAAAAAGGGTCCTTCGCCTTTTTGGTGTGGATGTGGTGCGATTTGAGCCTTACAAAATGTATGCCTCAAATTGCACCACACAGAAATCGCATGTGATTTGCACAGGAAAGCGGTGCGGTTTCCTGCGTGAAAAAACATATGATGTGTCGCACCGCATACGTGTGAACCCGGGCTTAATCCTCACCAGACTAAGCCAAATATTTGGTTCTTGTAGTAATCTGACCGCGGTAATGGAGACCATCTACTTAATATCACAATTACAAACATATCTATCTTATATAGGATTTCTATAGCATACTGTATATATATATATATATATGTGTGTGTGTGTTTTGTTGTTTTTTTCTTTTTAATGCAGTACGTGCCAAAGCTGTACATTAAACAAGTACATGCAGTACTGTACATCGCCTATGTGGTCACAGCTTATACCTCAATAGCAGCAGGGGAGTTATTTTTAGCAGATATTTGGTGAGTTCTGAAAGCCACACACTTCAGCTGAGCACATGTGGAGGGATGTGGGTGTGCTTTGCATGTAGTGCTCTGTATGTAGTGCTCTGCATGTAGTGCTCTGTATGTAATGCTCTGCATGTAGTGCTCTGCATGTAATGTAGTGCAAGTAGCGCAGCGCACTTCGTCCCCGGAGACGTCACCGATCCAGCGCTCACCCGGACTCTCCATACACTGCGCTGTCTATGGGAACAGATCGCACACTTCACTCCGCACGTATCCCAGTTTATGGGAAACACGTGTCCTCTGCTGCCTCCAGCGGTCACAAAGATAACGGCAGCACTCTCAATGTAAAAACAAAGAGCAATTGCATCAGGACCGCAGGATGATCTCACATTACAGCACAGTCTGCTGCCAATCCACAGCATGCATTACATCAGATCGGGAGAGCACACAACTGGGGTGCGATGAAAGAACACAAATATCAGAAACACTAATAGAAGGAAATGTCTTCCATTATCATGGTACAAGATTGGAAATGTTTTGAGTATTATTGCATATTTTGCCTTCTCTATTAATTCATAGAGAACAGAACAATAGGATAGGAGCAGTGTATATGCGCGTTGTCATGCGTTTATGCAGACGATCATGGGATGTCAGGAGCAGTGTATATGCGCGTTGTCATGCGTTTATGCAGACGATCATGGGATGTCAGGAGCAGTGTATATGTGCGTTGTCATGCGTTTATGCAGACGATCATGGGATGTCAGGAGCAGTGTATATGCACGTTGTCATGCGTTTATGCAGACGATCATGGGATGTCAGGAGCAGTGTATATGTGCGTTGCCATGCGTACATGCAAACAACATGGG